CGTGTCTACTTTGTGTTGTTTTATGTGAGTCATCTTGAAGTGTTAAAATCTAGTAAGAGTCCCTTATTCAGCACTTGTTCAAAGTTCTCAGCTGACACCTTTGTTGTAGGGAGACGCCATGTCCATGCTGGATAGGTTCTTCCTCTAGCCCTGGACACCCAGGGGTGGTAGGAGCTTTAGAAACATGGAAAGGGGAAGAATCTTCTGAGCACAGGGAGGGAGGGGCGACTCCACATCCTCCTCTCTAAGGCGGCGCCTCCTTCTCCCTCAGGTGGTCAGGACAAGACCTTCCTGTTTGCCCGGCCCAGCGCTCTGGTGCCTCAGGGAGGACACGTGACCCTTTGGTGTTACTATCGTGATGGACTTACCAACTTTACCAACTTCACTCTGTACAAAGACGACAGAAGCCACGTTCCCATCTTCCACAGCAGAATATTCCAGGAGAGCTTCCTCATGGAAACTGTGACCCCGGCACACGCAGGGACCTACAGATGTCGGGGTTCATACCCGCACTCCCCCACTGAGTGGTCGGCACTCAGTGACCCCCTGGCGATCATGGTCACAGGTCAGAGGGCTCCTGTCTGGGCTTCTCCTTGTCCCACCTCCCGAATCCCAGAGCTTCTGCTGGGGGTGTCCACCAGGGTCCCATCACCCAGGACCTGACTGTCTTTGGGGTAAAGGGGGATTGAACTCAGGGAAATGGGTGCTGTGATGGGAAGAATAACTGTCCCCAATATGGTTACATTCTAATCCCTGGAGCCTGTGACTCTTTATGCTATAGGGCAGGTGACTGAAGGGGAAGATAGAGCTCAGGTTGTTGATGAGTTGACCTTGAGATGGGGAGACGGCCTGGACTGTCCCACTGGGCTCACTGTAATCACAAGGGTCCTCGTGAGAGGAGGAGGAAGAAGGTAGTGGGGATTAGAGCAGCGTCGTAGGAGACTCCACCAGCCACTGTGGGCTTTGAAGGAGGAGGAAGGCCACGAGCCACAATGGCTGGTGGCCTCTACGGGCTGGAGAAGTCAAGAGAACTGCTCCGCTGAGTCTCCAGAGGGAACACAGTTCTGTAGACGCCTTGTTTTTAGGGAGAACTGGATCCAATTTCTGACTCTAAAAGTGGAAGGGGTCAGTGTGTTCTCTCCTGCCACCATGTTTGGGATAATTTTCTGCCACAGCAACAGGAAACCAACACAGGAACATGGTCAAGGGCAAGTTAAGAAACCAAACAACGATAGCCGGGCATGGTGGTGGGCGCAAGTAAACCAACGACTGGATTCAATCGCTTGAATCTGGGGGCAGAAGTTACAGTGAGCCAAGACCACACCACTACACTCCAGCCTGGGTGAAAAAGTGACACTCTGTCTCAAAAATTAATTAATTAATCAATTAATTAAAGAAACCAAACAAGGAGAAGGTTGGCAACCCCGAGATCAGGAAGGGCGGGACACTGATGCCACCACCAGGCTCCATCCACATAGGGAGGGGTCGATGCTCCTGGAACCAGCACCAGGAGCCACCCTGTGGAAGCTGAGGCCATGGAGAAGGCACAGGCGTGACAGGAGAGGCTCCCAATCCCCACCAGGAACAAGGAGTGTGGACACTGGTGCCTGCCTTACTGATCAGTTCATACCTCCTGCCAGGGACTCCAGTTTGTCCAAAACAGATTGAACCAGGCTGCTAAGAGCCTGGACATGCAGCCGGCCGTGGTTCCTCTTCCAGCCCCACATAGGCAGCAGGAAAGAGATGAGTGGGAACCAGATACAACAGCCTAAGGGATGAGGCTGAGCCCAGTGGGAAGGGCGTCTGAGGCTACTAGAGACAGACGGACAGGGAAGAGGGAGGGACACCGATGAAGGGACCTGCACCAGGGGATAAAAGACAGGGAGACACAGAGAGGGAGGAGAGAGACAGACAGCCGGGAGGGGAACCCTCACTCGTTCCAGGTGCCATGGATATGATGACAAAGGGAGACGCCTTCTAAACTCACAACCTCTCTTTCTAGGAGTCCACAGAAAACCTTCCCTCCTGGCCCTCCCAGGTCCCCTGGTGAAATCAGGAGAGACGGTCACCCTACAATGTTCCTCAGATATCGTGTTTGAGTACTTCTTTCTGCACAGTGAGGTGAACTTTGAGAAGCCATTGCACCTTGTTGGAGAGCTCCATGGTGGGGGCTCCCAGGCCAACTATTCCATCCGTCCCACGACGTCTGCCCTTACAGGGACCTACAGATGCTACGGTTCTGTCACTCACTCCCCCTATGTGTTGTCAGCTCCCAGTGACCCCTTGGACATCGTGATCACAGGTGAGAGTGTCCGGACATTCTTCTCATTGTCACTGGGACACAGAGTGAATGATCCAGGACTTGGAAGCCCCGGGTTGTCATGAGGAAGATGAGCGTGGGATTCTTATGGAGAGAGACTGACTTGGCGAGGTCTGTACCAACAGAGACAGAGAAACAGGAGACACAAGTACAGACCAGGTGTCATAACAGAGGACAGACACAGGGGCCATACAGGGAGGTAGAAAAAAGAGAAAGAGTTAAAGGGGACACCCAGACACACAGACATGTCCCAGAGACAGTCGTCCTTCCATGCTGACTTTGCTCAGATATCTGGCACAGGTTAGAAGTTTCATTTCTGCTTTACCTCCGCAAAGCGTTTCTACCAGGAGAACCCAAGGACACCCATATTTCTGTCCTGAGTCAGCCCATGTGGCCTCAGGCCTTGTGGCACCTACAGATGCCGTGTTTGTTCTGACACCTCTGCCTTCCGTACAGTGGACAGTCATCGTCCCAGGATATTGTGGCCCCAGAACACCAACCCCTGTATGCTGTGTGTACTTGGGGTCCCCACACTGGATTCTGAGGCTCATATTCCACATAACCCCACATATGATAGGATTCCTGAGAGACACAGAGAGAAATCAGGAACATCAGAAAGCAAAGACATAAACACACAGAGAATGATCCAGAGGAAGGAGATTGAGAGACTCACAGACACATAAAGAGACAGAAAAGAGGGCAGAGGAGTGGAGAGAATGATGGAAGGGAGGAGAGAAAAGCTCCAAAATCAGAATCCTGAGGGAGGGGCACAAAGACGGAGATAGATAAAGATGTGGGGATGGATTGCAGAGATTCCGAAAGAAGTAGAGAGACTGAGAGGCAGAGAAAGACAAGGAGATGGACAGAGACAGATGGTAGATGGATAGAGAGATATAGATAGATGGTAAATACGTAGATGATAGATAATGGATGGGTTATAGATACATAGATGGCGATTGATAGATGACACATGGAGATGATGATAGATAGATAGGTAGGTAGATAGATAGATAGATAGATAGATATGTAGATGATACATAGAGACAGAGAAGCAGACAGATAGAGAGGGAACAGACAGATGATACATAGATATAGATAATAGATAGATGGTGGGTAGATAGACAATTGATAGAGAGATGAATGGTACATAGATACAGATTACAGATAGATAATTGATAGGTTGACATGTAGTAGATAGATCGATCAATAGATAATGGATAGAAATGTGCAGAAGGTTATGAAGAAGACAGAAAGTGAGAAACTCAGAATTAAAGAAAAAGGAAGATCAAGTCAACAATCCAAGGAGGATCATAGAGAAGAAAACAATACGAAAAGGGAAAACACACCACGGGCTGGGGAAATGAGGTCAGAGAGCTAGAGAGACAGAGAAAGTGGAAGGAGGAAATAGACGTGAAGAGAGACGGGGTGGAGGGTGACAGAGAGCATTAGGTCATAGAGCAGATGTGTGAGTTCTCAACTCAGATGTGAGGGGAGCTGTGACAAGGAAGAACCTCCCTGAAGAAACTGCCTCTTCTCCTTCCAGGTAAATATGAGAAACCTTCTCTCTCAGCCCAGCCAGGCCCCACAGTTCAGGCAGGAGAGAACGTGACCTTGTCCTGCAGCTCCCGGTGCTCGTTTGACATGTACCATCTATCCAGGGAGGGGGAGGCCTGTGAACTTAGTCTCTCTGCAGTGCCAAGCGTCAATGGAACATTCCAGGCCAACTTCCCTCTGGGCCCTGCCACCCACGGAGGAACCTACAGATGCTTCGGTTCTTTCCGTACTGCACCCTACCAGTGGTCAGACCCGAGTGACCCACTGTCCATTTCTGTCACAGGTGAGGAAACCCCATGCTTGTCCCATGTCTTATGATCCCAGAGCCATAGCTGAGGAACTTGCTGCTGATGATGGAGAGAAGCATGGACAGGTTCAGAGAGAAGACCAAGCTTCGGTGTGAGGGTGGGATCAGGACGCAGGATGGCAGACAGGGCACCTCCAAACTCTCCTGCATGGCCTGCGTGGTGGTCCGCGGTCAGGACTCCAGGCACCCAGGCAGATGGAGAAACTGGTCAGGACAGACCCAGAGGAGGGAGACTGGGCTCAGTTTCGGGAGATCAGAGGTTCCCTCAGCCCCTCTACCTTACCCATTTCCCAGAAGCCCATCCTGGCCTCTCACCCACACAGACATATCATCACCAGCAACCCTTACACCCTTTTCTTTTCATTTGAAAAAATATTTGTTGAGGTTAAATATACCTAGAAAATTGACCACCTTTACCATTTTTAAGTGTAAAGTCTAGTGGTCATAAATACATTTATATTCTGTTTTGTTTTGTTTTTTGTTTTGTTTTGTTTTTACCCTCCACCGTTCCTTTCCTGGCCTCTGGTAGCCACCATTATACTCTCTACCTTCTTGAGATCCACTTTAGAGCTCTTGCATAAGGGTGAGAATTGGCAATCTTTGTAATGAGCTCCAGTTCCATCCATGTGGCTGCAAATGTCAGGATGTTATTGTCTCTACCGATGAGTAGTCTCCACTGTGTGTATGTACTACATTCTCTCTATCCATTCACCCACTGATGGGCAGGTAGGTTGACTCCACATCTTGGCTACTGTGAACTGTGCTGGAAGAGTCATGGGAGTGCAGATAGAACTTCGATACACTGAAGTCTTTTCCTTTGGATGTAAACCCAGTAGTGAATTTGTGAATACTATGAAAATTCTCTTTTTAGTCTTTTGCTTGGTTTTTGTTTGGTTTTTGTTTTTGAGGCAGAGCTTTCCTCTGTAGCCCAGGCTGGCGTGCAACTGACACAATCTAGGCTCATTGCGACCTCCTGGGAGGCAGAGGCCTCCTGGAATCAAATGATTCTTCTGCCTCAGCCTCCCTGGGAGCTGGGATTACAGGTGTACGCCACAACGCCTAGCTACGTTTCGTATTTTTTAGTACAGACAGGGTTCCCCCATGTTGATCGGGCTGCTCTCAAACTCCTGACCTCAAGCAAGGTGCCCGCCTCACTCTCCGAAACTGCTGGGATTACAGGCATGAGCCACCATGCCCAGCCTCTTTTTAGTTTCTTAAAGAACTTCCATAATTTTCTGCATAATGGCTGTACTAATTTACCTTCCTACCAACAGGGTTGGTAGGATTCTCCTTTCTCTACCATCTTGCCAGCATTTGTTTTCCCTGTCTTGCAGATAAAAGCCATTTTAATGGGGTGAGATGAAAATTCATTGTGATTTTAATTTGTATTTCTCTAATAATGAGTGATACTGAACAGTGTTTCATATACATCATGGCCATTTATATGTTTTGTGTGTGGAGAAATGTCTGTTCATGTCTTTTGCTCATTTTTTAGTTAAATTATTTGTTTTATTGAGTTATGTGAGCTTCTTATATTTCCAGTTATAAATCCCGTCTCAGACGCATAGTTTGCAAATATTTGCTCCCATTCTGTGGGTTCTCTCTTCACTTTGTTGGTTATTTGTTTTGCAGTGCAGAAGCTGCTTAGTTTGATATAATCCCTGTGGTCTGTTTTTTGCTTTGATTACTTGTGTTTTTGAGGTTTTAAACAAAATGTCTTTTCTCAGACAAATGTCCTGAAGCATTTCCCCAATATC